TTTGTTCAGGATCATGACATTGATAAAGGCCAACGATCTTGGTCATCTTTAGCTAGTGTTTGGACACCTTGGATGATGCTAATGCCGACAGTACTCCAACTTTCAAGCTTCATAATTCAAGATTTATTTCATAAAAAAATATTTTATTTATGTGTTTTGGAAAGTTCTCGAGGCGTGCTATAAGAACATGTAATGAAAAATTGGGGGTTCCATTTTAAAAATTCAAAGTGACCTTGTCCTGACCTTGACGGTGCCACTCAGGGTCAAACCAATGTTATCATCTTATGTCCCCCTCGAAGTCCGTAAACTTTTGTCTGAAACATTTTTTCCTACTGTGCTTATTTTTCGAGATATTTGAAAGTTTCAGGTTTAAAAAATCACCCTGTATACAGAATATAATTACTTCACGATGCTGTCCTGATGAATGGTTCTCTGTCTGGCCAGCGGACCGAGGCCTTGCTTGAGCTGCGTGAATCTCTCGATCAGCCTCTTGTGCAACGGCTGGACCCCGGTCGGCGCGATCTGGCCGTGCAACACCAGGCCGGATTCCAACACGCTCATCTGATCCAGTATCAGTCCCTTCAAGCGATTAACATGCGGCACCATCTCGGGATTCTGTCGGGCGAACTCGGGCGTGAGAAAGGCCTCCTGATACTTGGTGATACCGCCCATCACGTTAGCGTCGATGATACCCTGCAGCCGCATGCTGAACGGATTGATATTTCTATGCGGCTCCGCGGTGTACTGCGCCACCAGCCGCCTCAACTCCCTCTCCACGCTCTGCATAGTTTCGCAGGCGTACTGCACCGGCGCGAGCAATTCCGACCGCTTCTCGATCACCTCGAACCATCTGAGGATCCCCGGCAATTTGGCCTCCGTCATCAGCATCGTTCGCTCGATCCACAGTGATTTGAACTCGTTCTCACGATCCACCGGCCCCCGGTGGAGCGGTCGGTCGAACGTAAACCTGCGAACGTCATTCACCAGGTAGAAAGCGACCACGCGTTCGGGAACTTCGACGCCGCTACAGGCCAGGCTGCCCTCCTCGGGAATCGGCTTCACATTGCAAATTTGGATATCTGTAAAATGCGGTGTGCGTGATCGTTAGATAAAATATAATTATTCATTTTTAAAAAAAACTTGTCGAGTCACAAATCATTGGGACTGACTCTTATAATTTAAGAATAATTAAGGGGCCAGGCCACCCCCCTAAGGTTTTAAAATGATACCTTAAGTTTGGGATTTTTTTGTGGGTAAATGGATAACTTTATTTAAAATCTGCTTAGAGGACATTATTGTACATATATAAGAAACCAAAAAAATATTTTTTATTTTCTTATGTCCAAAATGGCGGTGGTCCACACTTGCGGAATCCCTTTTTTTCTATCGGTATACAGGATTCCAGGCACACGGTTTGACTTTGAACAAAACACAAAAAATTTTCATTATCTACATATTAAGGATTAAAAAAGTACGTACGGATTTTTCAAAATATTGGTTTTTCTCAAAATGGCAGCTATTTTACGAAAGACTTGTATTAACAGAAATACAAACTTTTCGTAAAAATAGCTGCCTATTCGAGAAAAATCAATATTTTAAAAAACCCCTACGTACTTCTATAGTCTTTAATATGTAGATAATGAAAATTCTTTTTGTTTTGTTCAAGATCAAACCGTGTGTCCTGGAATCCTGTACACCGATTTGAAGAAACAGAAAAAAGAGATTCCGCAAGTAAGCCAGTGCGCCGTCATTTTACAAATAAAAAAAATAAAAATATTTAAAAAATTTTTTTTATTTATAACTTAGGTATCATTTTGAAGCCTCAGGGGTGGCCTAACCTCTTAAGGGGTTACACCACCTTGACCGCCTAAAAATCAATCAGTAACTTTGGGAATTTTTTTTAGGAAAACAATAAAAGTAACAAAAAATTCGTTTTAAGG